AAAAAATTACAATATTAATTACTTCAATTAGCTCTTTTTACATTTTATTTACTGTCTCGAGTCTTCGACTCTTTTGCCCTGAAAACCATGTTGTTTGTATTATCTAAGTTTACAGTAATCAAAAATAATGAAAATATAGGTGTTGTGTATAAATCTGATAAGATGCTAAGTGGTATAAATTGTACTAGAAATACCATCACTGATATAACAAAATATTTTTCAATCTTAGAGATATTTCCATTAGCATATTTTCAACTTAAATTAACAAGGCAAATGTTTGAATAACCTTACTAAATCTATAACAAAAATTTCATTGAGTTCATTTTCATACTCAATAAAATATTGAACGATTATGCACCAACATTGCTTCATTTCTTACTACTTTCTAATCTTTTTAATTTGTTTAAATATTTGATATTGTAGATTAACTACACTTTCTACATTTTCCACTATCAATTAAGTCGAATTAGGTTGGGTTAGGTTTGTTTTATGTTTATTTGAATACTTTGAAATAACTCCGATTATTTTGAGATTTTTACTTTGTATTTAATTATTTGTATATAACATTAAGTATGTATATGTTACCGGCTATCTGTATAATCCGGTGTTTTATACAATACCTAGGCAATTTATAGAATACCTAAAACGTTTAGGTAATATATGTAATATTATTAATTTTATACTTTGCCTAAGTATTCTATAAAATACCGAATGCGAAGCCGGCAATGTGTGTAAAAGGCGAGAGCAGGCAAAAAAGGCAAAAAACACAGTAATACTAAAAAGTTTCATGTCTTAAAAGTAAGATTTTATGCACTTCAAAATGTCACGATAGTTCCTCATGTAAGAATCAATAAATATATTTTTTTCACTTCTGAGAGGTCAGTAGATCTACGTCTTGTTTTTATAGAATTATTTTGTTTCCTAAGTTTTTAATACTTATTACTTGATTACACAGCAAATGACATTATATTAGTTAACCCACAAAAAGTTTAAGTTTAATGTAATTTAATTGTGGTTTTACTACAGTTACAGAAAAGTATTAGGTGCATTTTTTTTGTACAATAAGTTATAGATTATAAAAAAATTGATAAATACAGACCAAAATCTATTTATTTTATTCATTGCCAGTCGACCAACAGGTACTCTATGTAATCCTTAAGAATTGTATACCTACATTACCTAGCTAAAGGACAATAATCTTCATAATATTTCATACATTGCCTAGGCATTGTATAAAGTACCTGGATTATACAGATTGATGGTAACATATACATTATTTAAGATTTCTTATATTTTTGAATATATTTTGGCTATTTTTAACAGGTTTAGGCATTTCTTTGCTTAAATTATTGCCATTTACAATTAAATTAAGTCATTTTACAATAATGATACAACTAACAAAGATGACCTGCAAAGACTAGTGTATCACTTCAACATAGCAGCTAAGCAATACAATATGAAAATATCAATGGAAAAAGCAAAATGTATGGTAATATCTAAAGAACCAAGACGCTGCAAACTACAAGTTGAAGACTCTATAATAGAACAAGTTAAGCATATTAAATATCTAGGTGCAGAAAGCACAAGTTACAAGAGCCACACAAGTGGCAGGCTGTCTAAAAATGAAAATATACAAAGCTATGGTACGACCCATATTAACATATGGTACCGAGACGGCAGTAGATACAAAGAAGACCAAACAGAAGATGTTGGTGATGAAGATGAAAGGCTTGAGATCTATGTTAAATGTGACACTGTGAGATAGGCAGACCAACTTTCTCTGATAGGCAATCAGAGAAAGATGTAACATATAGGATGTAGTAAAATGGACGAAAGCAAGAAAGAAGAGATGAATTAAGCATGTGGAAAAAAGAATGGATGAGAGGAGATTGGCCAGAATATGCATTTATGGACGATCGAAAGAAAAACGACCACAAGGACGACTGCCTAGGAAACTGGTTCTCTTCGTCTGCGGAGGAAAGTTCGTGGAAAGTCGATTTTTAAATATTCGGATTTAGCTGCACGTCTCTCAAGACGGCTAAACCCGAATAATTCTAGTTCTAGGTCTTGTGTTAGTTCTACTGGTAGTGCTAGTATAAAACTAGAACTAACACTAGTTCTAGGGTTAGTTCTAGATTTAGTTGTTATTCGGTGTTAGATTGTTGTATATTAAATTTGTCATTGACCTAAGACAAGAACTAACACTAGACCTAGAACTAGAAACATTCGGATTTAGCCGCACGTCTCTCAAGACGGCTAAACCCGAATGATTCTAGTTCTAGGTATTGTGTTAGTTCTAGTGATAGTGCTAGTGTAAAACTAGAACTAACACTAGACCTAAAACTAGAAACATTCGGGTGTAGCCGCACGTCTCTTAAGACGGCTAAACCCAAATGATTCTAGGTCTAGTGTTAGTTCTAGATTTAGTTGTTATTCGGTGTTAGATTGTTGTATATTAAATTTGTCATTGATCTAAAACAACAACTAACACTAGAACTAGAAACATTCGGATTTAGGCGCACGTCTCTCAAGACGGCTAAACCCGAATGATTCTAGTTCTAGGTCTTGTGTTAGTTCTAGTGCTAGTGTAAAACTAAAACTAACACTAGACCTAGAACTAGAGTTTTACACTAGCACTATCACTAGAACTAACACTAGATCTAGACCTAGAACTAGAAACATTCGGATTTAGCCGCACGTCTCTCAAGACGGCTAAACCCGAATGATTCTAGTTCCAGGTGTTGTGTTAGTTCTAGGTTTAGTTGTTATTCGGCGTTAGATTGTTGTATATTAAATTTGTCATTGAACTATAACTAGAACTAACACTAGACCTAGAAACATTTGGGTTAAGCCGTGCGTCTACAGACGCACGGCTGAACCCGATATGTTCTAGTTCTAGGTCTAGTGTTAGTTCTAGTTTTAATTGTTATTCGGCGTTAGATTGTTGTGTATTTTAACACTAGACCTACAACTAGAAATATTCAGGTTTAGCCGTACGTTTCTTAAGACGTGTTAATTAGTTTTTCACTTACTTAAAAGAACTACGAATGTTTCACTAATCACAATAAAGAGTTTATTTAACAAGAGTTTACATGAATTTGAATGAAAAAGAGCACCACGCACATTCAACCACTCGGTTGCGAATGAAAATTTTCTACTGACAACTAAACAAAAATTATCTTGGTTACATAGCAACGCAAAAAGAAACACATTTGATTTTTAGAATTAAATGATTAAATACTTTTAAACAAGACGACTTTTTAGTTCTAGTTTTAGGGTTAGTTCTAATGCTAGTGTTGGTTCTAGTTTCAATTTTTATTACTTAGCATTAGATTGTTGTATATTTGTCATTTAAGTAAAACTACAACTAGAACTAAAAAAGTAGAACTGACACTAGAAAGTTTCGGGTTTAGCCTTGCGTCTTCAGAGTCTTTAAAGTACAAATTAAAAATTTTTCATATTAACGGACACTTCCTTTGCCATATTAAAAATTTTAATTTTGTTATTAATTTTTTCATAGAGAACGAAAGATATAGATTGAGATACCATATGAATATTAATTTTGTATAATACTGCGACTTCAAATTCATATTTTACGCATAAAAATTATCCGGGAAAGTTTGTTTAAAATTTTTAGCCTCTACAATATTGCGTCCTAAAATCCAGTAAATAATAAACGTGTTGTTTTCGCGTTCAATAACTGCAAACACACATGTGTAGATTACATCACGTGTTACTTAATTTTACGTATTTTTTGATCGGGTCGAATACGTTGTAATCACAACATATAAAAATGTATTATTGATTTTTTTCTTTTTTTCTCCTCTCAATTACTTACACTATAATTGTTAATTCCTTTAGTTTTGAAAAAAAGAATGTTTAAGATTGTTACTTGTTGATACCTAAACCGTGGCAAGCGATATACTTTCCGTTTTCCCCGTGACCTTGAAGCTTGATTTCCGCATTTTACCCCGCCGTCTTCAAGATTATTGATTTTTGAAGCAAGGTGGTCCCGCCACCACCTTTAAATGCCAAGCGAAGTTCTTTGTGGAAAATGGAGCTGCTCACGCACCTTTTCCACTCTCTTCTTTGTTTGGAGCGTCGTTTTAGGTCATAGGTTATTCGTTTTATTTAGTTGGTTTTTTTTGTAAATTATCGATTTGTCCTCTAAAAAGAACGTTATTGGAGGAAAACAATTAAAATTTTCCTAATTATGTTATTTAATGTTTTTTGTGCTTAGTTGCAAATCGGGATTTTCCTTAATAACGAAAATTTAGATGAGTTGGCGATTTATTTTTGTCCACTCGTAAAAGTTGTTACGAAACGTTATTATTAATATGACCGTGTTCATTTGCATCAGCGGTGCAAGGTGCTGTAAAAATTCTATTTTTGACTCTTATCTTTTTAAAAAGGTACTCGTCATATACATATTATATATATTTTTAACATTCAACGCGATACAGGATTTATTTTTGGATGATTTTTTCTTCCTTTTACTTTTTCAATCAATAATGATTGAATTATAAATAATTTAACTTATTTAAAAAAGATTATTTGTTTATAAAAATATTTAACCTTATTTAAAACGTGATGTATACGTGTTAACTTTGTAGCTACGATTATTGGTCTTAAATGCAATATAAAGACAATCTTTTGGTATTGCACGGATCCTTTCTTGAAACTATTGCCGCCTTAATCGTCCGCAAAAGACAATTTACCGCCACGTTATCGACATTAAGATATATATGCCGAGGCATTCGACACGATTTCGCTCTGTCCTCAACGAAAACCAAAAAAGGCCACCGCGAATTCCGAACGTTAAATAATTGTTTTTGCGGTTGTCCGAACCACCCAGCCCTCTTTGGTACCCTTTTCTTTCTTAAAAGCACGTCTCGAGCCATCATCTAAAAATAAAATCATTAAATTTTCTTTTCTGAAACATCATATCAATCTATTTCTGTAAAAACGTAAACAACATAATCGTATTATTTTTTTTTTAGGTCTGAGGGAATGGAAACAAATTCAGATCAAAATTCCAGTAATGATTTTCCATTAAGAAAAACAGCCTCGGAACCGAATTTGTTAAAAGTTCGATTAAAACAGCGCGTTATGGAACGTAGAACGAATCCGATGACTAAACGACATCTTCCGCCATCTCTCAAGAAGAAATTGTTGAGTAGTTGTTTGCCCCCAAGCGAATCACCACCGCAGGAGCCGCCGAAAGAATTGAGTCCGCCGTGCGACTCCGAGGAGTACCAAAGACACGTGTTGTTTAGCAGCCCGTCGATGCCGAATATCTCTTTGGCCGCCCATCATCTCTCACCGGATCTTTCGGAGGCCGCTTTAAGAGCAAGGTGTACAGCCAGGCTTGGAATGCCCCTTACTGGACAAATGCTGCCTGGCACATTGCCGTTTTATCCTTCATTACCCGCCATCGAAAGCGAACACGAAGAAGGCTCAACTTTAGACACTATTAGTGAATTACAGGTAAGAAATGTATTTTTTGTACTATTTATGATAAAAACCACAAATTTTAAAGTATGGTGCCATCTATGAATGAGAAAGCGAAATGTTCAGTTTAAAAATTAAAATTATAGATTTTCTTTTACAACACGCATTTTCTTTGTGATAAAATCGTCTTTTTGTATCAATAAATCATTTTTATTTTACATCTTGTAAGGTGTAACTTGTGTGCAATTCGTTTTAGTGTAGCACAAGAAAATATCGTGTTTTTAATAAGATTTCAAGTTTTTGATAATTTACAAATTGAAGAGGGTTGAAATTGAAGTTAAACAAGTTAAAAGTACTTAAAAGTTGGAAAGGCTTTTAGTTGTAAAGTTAGGTTTGATTTTAAATAGAATTTTAATTTAAGTTTTAATTAGAACCGAAAGTGTTCAACTTAAATTTTAGAATCAAACTTTTTTTTGAGATTCTTATTAACTATGTGCGTTTTTATGAGGCAATAATATTAGTCGTGTGATCATAAAATTGTTTTTATTGGCTTCTTATAAAACTTTAAAAGTTGGGAAATATTCATACAGATGGCAATAAAAATAGTTAATCCTGTCTCTTAATACAAGCGATATCATTAATTTATTTTTTAACCAATTATATATCTCAAGGTTACATAATAGTACATTATTCGACTCAAAGATTTTAGTTAAACGTGAGATTATGCTGAGTAGGATACAATTTAGATCATTTGAGGGAAGAAATTGTCACATAAATACCGAAAAGCTGACATGGTCTAGTTCTAACATACTCGTGGAATTAACTAGACCGATATCTCTTCCCTATATATCTCATAAATATTTATTTGGGCATCGCAACTTATATATCACTGATCTTTAGAAACTTTCCTCCGCTATTATTCCGGGCGTGTTCTATTTATTTGTGAATAGACAAATATCAAATGGAATCATGGAAGTGTTATTTTTGATCCTATTACGTGTTTTGTGACTTTTATATGAAAAAGATGTAGCCTCCAGTTCATTGCGTTTTATAATTAGACAACACATAAAAATTAACTTCGATAACACTTTTATATACCTTTGTTTGAACATCATCCTCAAAAATATTTATACCGTAAAATCACGAAAATATTGTCAAAAACTACATTATTTGGCCTTTTTTATTTTATTGCTGTATTTATTTGTAAGAATGTCAAGGTTGATAAATAAAAAAAAAAAGTACAATTTAAGGAGTTTGAAGTAATGAAACAAACTTTAAGTGCTTTCAGTTATTTTTCCTGCTATTTTCAAGACAAAACATTCTAAATAGTATTTGAAAATTAAACTATTTATACTACGATGATTATTTATTTGTGAAATTGTCTTTACCGGTTTCGGCACATTGCCGTCTTCAGAAGACTTGTCAGGTGTGTGTACACACATCCTTTCGCGCCAATAATTAATGTCCGTTGGGGTTAATCTTGTTCTTCAATAAATTGATAATCCGCAAAAATCGCAACCTATATTTGAAATAAATTATCTTTCGACATCGTAGAAAACCTGACAAGTCTTCTGAAGACGGCAATGTGCCGAAACCGGTAAAGACAATTTCACAAATAAATAATCATCGTAGTATAAATAGTTTAATTTCCAAATACTATAATCCAAACGGTGATATGGATGCTTCTACATCTAATAAAACATTCTAAGCCATACATTTGACATGAATGAAATTGGTTTGTAAATGAATATTCTTGGTTTCTTAATAATTCTTCATGATTTTCGTTCTCTATGAACTTGTGGGTCTGTTATGTCATCAATTATTCCTGTATCAAATATTGCTTCTAAAGAAATGCTTTCTACATCCAGTTTTTCCTTACGTCCCTGTGAAACTACTTTATTTCTTTTGTCTCCAAGAAACTGCACGAAAAATTCATTTACAAGACTTGCATCAGCTGCTACCTGGAGATGTTGGAACACGCTCAAGAATCTGAAGCTTTCTAGTCTGGTCCCTTTCACACTTATCCTTAGAACTCATTTCCGAGGCGATTTCTTGAGTTCTTCTAAAGAAATGCTGTCTACATTCAGTTTTTCCTTACATCCTTGTTACTACTTTATTTCTTTTGTCTCCAAGAAACTGCACGAAAGACTCATTTACAAGACTTGCATCAGCTCCTACTTGGAGATGTTGGAACACGTTCAAGAATCTGGAGCTTTCTAGTCTGGTAAATTTTGTGAGCCCTTTCACACTTATCCTTAGCACTCATGTCCGAGGTATTGATGGCGATTTCTTGAGTTCTTTTAAAGAAATGCTTTCTACATTCAGTTTTTCCTTACATCCTTGTTACTACTTTATTTCTTTTGTCTCCAAGAAACTGCACGAAAGACTCATTTACAAGACTTGGATCAGCAGCTACCTGGAGATGCTTAAACGTAGGAACACGCTCAAGAACCTGGAGATTACTAACCTGGTAAATCCCTATTTTTAGAACTTAGCTTTTAGATTATCTTCTAAGTTACCGCGTATATCTTGGACACTTCGGCTATATTAATCATATAGCCATTTTTCTCTTAACTGTACTCTTTTTATGAGGTAGGGTCTTAGCCTTATACTCAATTTTGTTAATAAAAAACTACATAGTATTATTTCAATAGATTTCTGTTTGTTTTCCTTCAATATTGAATCGATGAATATTGATCTAACATTTCATTTGTAACATTTTTAAAATGATAAATATGGAGAAAGTATTTTAGGATTGTATCTTTGTTCTAAACATGATAACAAAAAAACTTATTTAGCTGCAATTTAGTTTACGACTATTATACTAAAATATTGTGTGGGTTTTGGCCTTCCTTGCTATTTCGCGCTATCTTCCTCTGTTCTCGGTAACCTCCCTCCATCTGCTGCCATCTTTCATGTCCTTCGTGGCCTCCCTCGCCTTCTCTTTTTTGTCGCCTTTCAATCATTGAGCACTCTTGCGAATTATATGGTAAATCCTGTGTAAACGCCCCAGCCATTATAGGCGTTGTCTTAATAAAACGTACTATATCCTCGCATCATGCTATTCTGTTCGTGGTTCATCCTGATTCTCTAGCTACCGTCTTTCTCCTGAGTAGGACCGAAAATCTTCCGCTCAAACACTCTCATTGTGGTCTCTTCTTTCTGCGTTATCGACCACGTTTCAGTCGTATCATTAGGTCTTCTTAGCGTTTTATATATTCTAAACTTAAATTTTCTGCTGAGGAGTTCTGAGGATAGGAGACATTATTTGGTGCACAATAGTGATTGCCTCTCTTACCGCTACTTCTTCTCTGTCATTTAACAGTATCCCCAAGTAGGTGAACCGTGTGGTCACCTCGGATCTAAAGTTGTCGATACATCGAGAAATACTAAGAAGAAAGGTTACAAAAAATTTAAAGGAAGTGTTTTATATCTTTAAAACCGCGTACACTACAAACAATATTCATATCATAAAAAGGGTGAAAATGTGGGCTTATAGCATCGTATAATCAGTAAATTTGACCCACTTACTTAGCGAGAGATCTTAGCGATTCTTTACGTGGCAGAACTACCTCTATACATTCAGTCCCATGCAAGGAATTGACTCAATAAAGAGTAACTTTAAAGTTTATATAAGTTTTATAGACACATACAATATTACAAATGCTGTTGATGCAATGAAGAACTTATGAACAGGTACTAAATAGGGGTTTCCAGACATTGTATTTAAATTGTTTCTAAAAGCCTTGAAATCCATCAAAATTCATTTATGCCTTAACAGGTTGAGTGGCGACAAAGTGCGTCTAAATAATAAAGTTAACTTACCTCCAGCCCATGCCAAGCTAAACACGCGCGTTAACGTATTAACCACCCTTGATCTATTTAACTCGAAGCGACTAGTTAAGGGTTAATCGTGTTTAATAGGAACTGTTAAAATTAGTTTGTGTACCTGATATAATCTATAAGATATAAGCCTTGCTAACCAATTACGATGCGATCTAATCCCTCCCCATGGAGAAAAAAATGTTTATTCACGAAACGTTTATTTTTGTATTATGGGTTTAGTTTAATATAGTTCAATCGTTTATTTTCAATCCAACTCGGAAATTTAGGGTCTCAATACTGTTCCTACGATAGATAGCACACATATTAGAATCTATTTTATTATATTTGCTTGTTTATTTATTTTTGTTGGCGTAAAACAAAGTTTAACAATAGAATTAATATTTAACATTTAAAATTAAGGAACATTTGTTTGAATAAACGTTAAAATTGCATTATGACCCACAGCAACAAAAATGTTGGTTTCAAGAATACCATTCGGAATTGTATATCCCATTACTACGCCGGCTAATCGGTTGTTGTATATTGCCGGGCCACCTGAATCACCCTAAAATAAAAAGACACGAATAATTTTAATCAAAAATTATAAATTTTTAATTTACCTTCAGAATACTAGAGCTTTGTACTTCTGTAATAATTTGTGTTCTTGGACGCTCTATAATTCTTAGTTGAGTTCTTTGCAACCTTTCCGGCATAACACCATCCAAACTAATTCTTCCATAACCGACAGTTAAATAAGCACCAATAAGGTGGGACGTTTAATGCGCAATTAATGAGCCCAACTCTATCATTTAACACGCGTGTGAAGTTGGCCATAGATTTCAGCCATAGATTTTAAATTGAAAAAAATGCGTGATCGGGGTATTCAATCGATCTAATTTCAACGGCATCGTATTCCTGGTGGCCTCTTGCTTCAGATTCGAAGAGAAAATTTTCCTAACCATTTCTTATTATCCGGGAAAATCGATTTTCTTCAAACTTTCGCAAAATTCAGCTCGTTCGGGGTTTTTAATCGATCTAATTTCAACGGCATCGTATTCCTGGTGGCCTCTTGCTTCAGATTCGAAGAGAAAATTTTCCTAACCATTTCCTATATTCCGGAAAAATTAATTTTCTTCAAAGATAAGCAAATGTCGGGCTGTTCGGGGTTTCTAATCGATCCCATTTCAACGGCATTACATTCCTGGTCGCTT